GAGCAAGACAGTTAAGTGAATTTTGCCCCATTTTACAACATTTCTTGACACAGCTGTTAAATGAATCACTGCAGTTGTTAGGTTCGGTTCCACCACAAAACCGTGTTCGACTAAACCACGCTCGACGAAACCGCGTAGCTGACGTCATCAACAGGGCGACAACAGCACGGAGACAGAAGCACGTTGTAAACGCTAAACCTAAAATTAACCCCTAAACCTAAACCTAACCCCCCTAAACCTAATCCTAAACCTAACCCTAAACCTAACCCTTAACCTAACCCTAAACCTAACCCTTAACCTAACCCTAAACCTAATCCTAACCCTTAACCTAACCCTAACCCTTAACCTAACCCTAACCCTAACCCTAAAGCTAACCCTAAAGCTAACCCTAAACCTAACCCTAAACCTAACCCTTACCTTAAGTTGAATCGGCTTGCTTTCAAAGCGCTATTTAAAGCGCCCTTCTTTCTCCGCTCTGGCTGTTGTCGCCCTGTTGCACCTGTCAGCGACGCGGTTTAATCGGGCACGGCTTAGTCGAGCGCGGTTTTGACGGGTCACGGTTAGGTTCATAACATGTGCATCTATGATCTGTTATCGCCACCAGTAATATCTGGGTTCACAAGAATACAGTCCAATAACTTTGAAGGGTGCCAGGCTGGAGAAAAATGTACTAGATAAAATGATTATGTGACATGATAGAATGGAATGTTCTCTACTGGGATGTTGAGGAGAAAAAAGCATAATTCAGTAGTTATCGATGGATTCCACTTAGACCTATAGGGTTGTGTTTTTTTTGTTTTTTTTTTGCAACATGGACAGTTCAGTTTGCACAACCTACTTTTAGAATAGGGTCAGTCAATCAGACTGCATTTTTTAATGAATCCCAACAATTAGATTAAGTAAACAATGGTAAACAGATGTTAAAATCCTTCAGAATTACAACTGGTTTCCATAGCAACTGCACTGATATTCATGCAGAAGATAATTACCCTTCTTTTTATTACTATTTTGCAAGTTGAATTAGGAACAGAATACTTTATTACACCACCATTAATTTACACTGGCGAATATGACCTCTCAGTGAGGAACTTTGGGAGCTCTAGTACTAAAAAGCCCCCACGTGGGTGAACCTTGTTAGTGACTGATCTCAAGGTGTTATTTATTATTCTGCAGGAAATCCGGATCCTTGTCTTTCTGGCACTTTTAAAATCTCCAATTCGGCTTCAAACACAACGCAGGCCCGTACTGAGTACAGCACAATTGATCAGACACCCCCAATCCAGATACGCAGCTCCCCCCCCCCCCGTTTTTCCTTTTCTAAGCAGAGTCGTCTCTTAAGCGCCTAGTTTTGGGATGCTCCTCGGAAGTCCCTGAGAGGTCAGTCAGGCTCGATCTCTCAAGAGACCCAGAAAAAGCATCTCTCGAAAACGCGCAAAGTGGGGAGGATTCCTGCGGTTCTCCAGGATACGCCCGCTTGTGCTTCCCGTTCGTGACAGACGACCCACACCCACCCTCAAAAAGGGACACGGGGCCGTCCCGGGGCTTTCTTCCCCTCTCCTGGGCAGGTAACCACAGCGGTGCCCGTCGATAGCGCCGGCAGGGGAGCTCTCCGCTTCCCATCACATTTAAGGCCAAGGGCGCAGACCAGAAGTGGAGGGAAGCTTCCCTTCTCCTGCACCGCCCGTCCCTTCTCACTCTCAACGCGCACACCTGAGGGGAAGGGGGGGGGTCGGGAGGGCTTGTCGGAGGGGAAAGGGGCCATGCCTGCCGTCGGCTCACGCAAAAAGCAAAGCGCAGCGGCTACACGTACCTGCAGTTCGGGGAAAGGGGGCGGGGCAAACACTGTTACCGAGAGACGCACCGCCGCTTCTCCTTCTTTACTGTTTGGCTTTGGCTTATCCCGCCCCTTCCGCTCCTCCCCCCTCCAAAAAATGTCGAACCCCAGTTCCGGTTCCGGTGACGCGAACGGAGTCAAGCCGGGGCATCGGGAAGTTTGCGCTTTCTGCGCTCTTGGTCGCGCTTTCCTCCCTTCTCCCCCTCCCCTCCGCGGATCTTCCCGTGGAGCCTGCTGCTTTGGAGGGACGGGGGCTGAGTGGTGCCTTGAAGGTTATGCGTGTTTTCTGTAGGTGCGGAATGAGACCCCCATCTTTACATTCGTTATCCCAGAAAAAAGTAACTGGCAGCTAGAACTGATGTTCGATCGGGGATCGGAAGTACTTTCCTCTTGGCTGAGTTCAAGCGGCGTCCGAAACCTTGGTCTGCGGAATCTGGACTGCAGAAACACGGTCTGGTGCTAGGCGGCAGCGAAATGGCAACGAAAGCCCTGGGTGGTTTTTTTTTTTACTGCCGTCTGGCGGTCAGCCGCATTTATGCAGCCCAAATCCGATAAGACTTAGCTAAATCAAACCAAACCAGTTTCCATAGCTGTGGCTTATTGATTAGTCAACATTTGCAAATCAGAATACAATGTAAAGTGAAGCTGACAAGCGGCTCCAGGGATTGCCAGAAAGAACTAGGAATAAAAAACGCTGAGTTCGGAAGTATTACTTCATGTTGTGTGGTGCCACAAGTTCTTTCTCCACTCCTGTTTAACATCTACTTGACTGCTGGGTGAGGTTCTTTGTAGACATGGTGTGAGATGCACAATCCAGAGTCTTCTGAACTCATGATTCTTACTAAATGAGCAGATGGCAGTTGTGGCTAGATAGTCTTCGTCCTTTGCCTGACTTCAGATTGTGCACCAGTTGCATCCATTCCTACACCAGGAAGCCCTACACTCAGTAACTCATGCCCTGATCACTTCTCACATGGATTACTGTAGCAAATACTACATTTCTGCCTTGAACATCTAGAAATTTCAGCTGGTGCAAAATATAGTGGCATGGGCGGTTATATTTCCCTGTATAGTCCCTAGCACCATATAACAAAGTGAGCTGTTACTTGTCCCAGCTTCTGCCAACCTAGCAGTTCGAAAGCATTTAAAAAATGCAAGTAGAAAAATAGGAACCACCTTTGGTGGGAAGGTGACAGTATTTCATGTGCCTTCAGTGTTTAGTCATGTCGGCCACATGACCACAGAGATATCTTCGGACAGCACTGGCTCTTTGGCTTTGAAACAGAAGTGAGCACCGTCCCCTAGAGTCAGGAATGACTAACACGTGTGAGGGGAACCTTTACCTATATCAGCACACGTTACACCTCTTTTCTGCAAGCTACTTTGGTTGTAAGTTTGCTTCCAAGTTCAATTCAAAATACTGGTAATGATCTGTTAAGCCCTACATGTCATGAGCTGGGTTATGTGAGGAACCGGCCCTCTCCAATCACGTCCCTTCTGGATGGACATGTGGGTCATATCCACAAAAGCATATCATGTGACAGGACCTAGGAGAAAAGTCTTTTCAGCCATTGCACCTGCTCTTTGGAATATCATTCATCCTGAGATCAGATTGGTCCCAAATAATGCTAGCCTTCCCAAGATTCTGAAGACATGACTTTGCCATCTGATCTAGTAATCTAAGTATGGAGGCTGCAGAGGCTATATTTCTAGGAAAATTTGTTAAAGGTCCTTAGCCTGGTGTGGCTTTGCCAACATAGGATTTGAGCTGGAAAGGTATATTAATATTTATTTCTGCATAAGTAAAAGAAATCCCCCCTGGATACAAGATGAGAGGCCTCTTCAAAAGGAAAAATCACTTTATATACTGCTCATATATATTGGGTTTGGAATGTGTTCATCCATTGGTCAGCATAATTTGATACATCTGTGATATAATGTGCTTGTTCAGCAACTATATGTAGTTCATATTCCATAATATTCTTAGCATGATCTTGATTAAAGATCAACTCTTTGGGTAATTCTTGTCTTTGGCCAGTTTGGACCAGTCTTTATCAGAATTTAATATTCTTGCGTGTTACTTTAAAAAGTTAGTAACATTAATCAAAGGCACTCCTTGTTACTAAAAACAGTTACTCAAAGAGGGCCCTTTTCCTGCTCCCATAAAATTGTAGAAGTGATCTTCTACAGATCATGTTTTTTAATGGCTTTAACTGATTTTTATTTGGGAAGTTTCATTCCCCCAAACTGGCTAATGGATATATTGCTTTGTGCACATCCTGTTTCCTACTATCTCAGTCTGGAAAGTTTTCAGAGAGCTATGGGAGCACAGGTTCACTTCCTTAGGGAACATTCATTATAAATAAATCTTGAGAAAATGATATGTGTGCAATTTCAAAACAATCCCTGTTCAACCCTCAAATAACACAAAATAGAACAACAATCTTGTTTTAAATACTTGGCTTTGGTGCTTCCCGGTTCAGAGAATTGATACTTTTATATCTGATATTATCCCAATGTTCAAAAGACTTCAGGAGGATTTTGGTCTTTTTATCCAGAAACCCATAGTATGTACCAATTGCTTTAAAACTTTTTGAAGCTAAAATACTGCTACAGTTCCGATATAGAAGTACTGCAATTTCCATCACTAAGTGGCACACTCGTGGGGCATTGCTTTTTATTACGACAGTATTTCTTAGTCATGGAAATCCCTGTCACAATTGCCATTTTTTTTACCAAAGATTACCTGTATTCTTTAAAACTGGGAGCCTTTCATTTGGTTGAATAGGATACTCCAACTTGATATTCCAAATTTGCAGGAGATTATTCAAATATACAGTATATCTGAAATATTTAATTTATATTAATAATCAATTATTGGTTTAGAGTTCCATAAAGGCCATCTCCAATAACTTTGCAGTTTCTAAGGTCAGAAGGACACCAAGGCTGAGCAGTTTAGAGTTTTAACTGCCATTTCTATGTAAATTATATTCATTTTGTAGAGTTCTGATAGTTTTAAAATTATTGTTATTTAGTAGCTGATTTTGATGATTCTCTTAAATGCCAATAGCAGCCATTATCAAATAAGAATTACTCCAATTTCTCGTGAGAAGAAAAATCAAATTCAAATCTTCCCAATAAGGCCAAGGTGTGTCTAGCCGCTACCTTTCTACAAAGATTGTCCATAAGCAGGAATTTCCTCCAATTATGAAATGTACATCCTTGTAGTGTCTGAAATGCATATTACTTCAATATGACGAAAAGGTAGCTTGTGATATTTTATCTTCTCAATTTTATCCGTTGTGTTCTCATAATACAGAAAAAAATACACATAGATACATGGACCAGTGGTGCATTAACCATTAAGCAGACTAAGCACTTGCTTAGGGCATCAGGCCTAAGGGTACACCACAAAGTTGAGAAAGAAAAAAAACCAATGAAGATTTGTACAGTATGTACAAAGGAGGGGGGCCAAACCAAGATTTGTCGGTGTTTAGGGCACCAGTGAGCCTTAATCCACCACCGACATGGTTGTATATTGAGGACTTTATGTAAAAAGAAAGAAGTTATATGTGTGAATGTAACTATGTTAGTAGTCCTTGTTTAGGAACTCAAGCGGGACCAGCAACTTTGTTGCTAAATAAAGCAGTTGCTAAGTGAAACTGTGGCTGCGTTTATGTTTGTACTTCATCTTTCCTTTGCTTTACAGATCTGTGAAGGTTGTAAATATGAGGATTGATCACAAAGTTACTTTTTATCACTCATAACTGAATGGTCACTAAACAAGGACTACTGTAATGGTAATGCCAGTAAATCAAGCAAAACAATTTATCTGTCATTCTTACTTTTGCTTCTAACACATATGCAGCTATCTAGAAAATATCCAGAAAAGAACATATAATAGTGGTATTTAACTAAGAATATAGAAGAGACAAGGAAAGGCTTCATGTTTAAGATATGCTTTCTAAATGTTCCAAAAACAGTACATATAACAGATTTAAAGTATGTATGGATGCTACCTTAGGTTTCTTGTATATTATGCAGTGCACTATATTTAATTTACTTTTATATTAACAATTGTTAAAACTGTCTTATATGTGACAAACTATTAGTAGAAAATAATCAAGAAAACACATTTATAAAATATAAGATACATCCGTTCCCTAGAAAGTACCAATAAAATAGAAAATGTACAAATTATATAGTTGGGATTTGGTTGTTGTTGTTTTTTTGCAATGCCAGCTTTCAGAAAAAACTATTTCTTTGACATTAAGAATGCATAACTAAAAGATATTCTTATCAAGTTCTCTGTTATTCCTCATCTTCTGAAGTAAGAGAAGGTGGTGTGAGATAATTTTTTAGAATTTCTTCTAGCATCGCTCTTTCTTCCTCTTTCAAAGTTTCTTTCTCTTTCATCTCCCATCTGAAATTAAATATGAGGTATTTATGTTAGCCACACTGGAATAAAAAAATTAAATTGTTATTCATTATATGGGAACATATTACAATTGTTAGGTTATTACCGAGCATACAATTCTTATATTTTTGTACAAGCATTTTTTTTTACAAATCTAGCAGGCTGATATGTACATAAAAATAACACTTTCAGAATATTCCACTCTTATTATAAAAGGAACATAAACAAAATAGACCAGAATTTGTTCCTCTGTGTTTTGGTGCCTGTCAGCAAACACATAATAGATTCTGAGCTCTCTACATCTCTGACTTTGCACCAGAAGCCTCTTTTCCCTACAGTAATTACAGACAGGAGAGATGTCTTAGACACTTATGTCTCAATATAGAGAAGAGGATATATAAATAGTAAAAAAAACTTCCATCCATGCATTTCTTTGCTGAGTTGCCATTATTAAGCAAAGGTTACTTATTCTAGAATCAGCCAGCTTAGAAACTGCACAGGAGTCAGCTAAGTGTCCATGTTTAGCATTATTATTCTGCACACTGCTCGACTTCACTTACTTCTGACCTTTGCAATGTTAGCTACACCAGCATAGTTGTGAGAGATATAATCTTCTGGGTACTCATTTTACCAAATTTATTAATAATGCATATATTTTCTCACTTATTTAATTCGTTGCTGTCAAGGCAGAACAACAAAGAAATACTTGTATATAACCTGCCAGACTTCTCCTGGGCAAGCTGGATTCAACAGATAGAAGAATACAAAGATACAAGATAAAATGATTTCTGATTAAGAAGAAGAAGCTAAATAGCTCATTACAAAATAATTTCAGTGACTGCTTTGTTTCTAGTTCTGTTTATACTGCAATGTTCAATTTTGTGCTCCTCTTTTGCCACCCTGTTCTATATACAGGGCTTGAAGTAACTCCCTTTTGGGTGGAAGGGACAATTTCCACCTATCTATTATTTTGGTAATGGACAGACTTGAAATCAGACTATGTGCATTTATTTACATTTTAATAAATGTATTAAATCTATTTTATTTATTTATTAAATTAAAATTTTATGTTGCCCATCTTCCCTATAAAATGACTCTGGGCATTTGACTGAATGAAAACTAGATTTCACACAAATATCTTGTATGTTAATTTAGAGTAAAACGTACTTGCTCAATGAACATGAAAATTGGGAAAAGAGTGCAACAAAAAAGCAGAAAAAAATAAGAATAATAAAGTCATAAAATGCAGACAGATGTCACATATCTTCAATAATTTCACATGAAATACATTAATTTAACAGGCAGAGTTCTTTTTCTACTCCATGGTGTATCATAAGGAATGAATCCCACATGTCTAATAACTATAATATCAATTTATGACTCAGGTGTTTTGAGATCACAAATTTAAGTATTTATCTTAATAAGATAAGTTTCCTGCTTTACATATAACATAAACTATAAATAAAACATTGAAAAAATAAAATAAAACATTTAAATATTTGTGAAATTGAGTAACACAAATATGGCACAGAGATTCTCCTTATGTGACAAGCTGTTTATTCACTTAAAAATAATCAAAAGAGTACAATTTAATAAGAGCTCAGTAGCAGTTTTCTATACTTGTTGAAAAAGTCTATCACTACTTGAATGATAAAAATTTGACTCTAAAATGAAAACCTAGGGGTATATGAAGTAAAATTTGCATGCTTCTTAGATGTAATTGCATTATCATGTTTAAAGAAATCCAGAAATATAAGAAACTCTGATGCCAAGAAGTTATTTTCATTTGCATAAAAAGCAGAACTTAGTATTGAAAGCTCCAGAGATGTCCACAGCAGAAATGTCTTTATTAGCATATCCAAAATATATTACATTATTTTGGCAGCATCAGCTGGCAAGATCTGATCATATACCAGCTCAAGTTAGATGAATCTATTCATTTTAAAATCCTGGCTCGGTGAGCTGAACTGCTAGCTTTCAATTTATATTATTCCAAATTAACAATGTGACTTTCAGATAAGTCTATTAAATCTAGAACTGGCACATACCTTATTTAGGATTATGTTAGCATGTTAGCAAGATTAAATTAAATTTGCTGTCCAAATAAAGTAATAATTTGGTCCAAAACTTAGTGGCAATATGGAATACTTGGTTTATGATTAAAAGAACAATCATAACAACTCTGAAAATTTATCCCAGACAATTTTATTTTCATACAAATTGTAGAATTCATTTTGTCATAATTTATAGGCATGTACATATGCCTAAATCTTGTACTTATATGAGTCAGATAAAATATCATGAGCTTGAGTAATTATTTTACTTTATTAAAGTAACAAAGAACAAAATCCTGTTCTATATGCTGTACATATGTGAATACTATAAATAGCAATACTGTGTGAAAAACAGAAATGGAAAATAAATTATAAGAGATGTTCAAGTCAATATTCTTATATGTATGCACTGTACAGTTAATGATTTAGCTGGATATAAGTAGATTGTAATTCTGAAAAATTAATAAATATTATATTTATATATATGCCACAGAGAGGAAGGGATCAAGCTATTTTCCAAGGCACCTGAAGGCTAGACAAGGAATGAGGGATGGAAACTGAACAAGGAGAGATTCAACCTGGAAACAAGGAGGAATTTTCTGACAGTGAGAACAATCAACCAATGGAACAGCTTGCCTTCAGACATTGTGGGAGCTTCATCATTGGAGGCTTTCAAGAAGAGATTGGACTGCCCCTTGTCAGGAATTGTGTACTTGGGAGAAGGGCTGGACTAGATGACCTACAAAGTCCCTTCCAACTCTGTGGCATATATATAAATATAATATTTATTAATTTTTCAGAATTACAATCTACTTATATCCAGCTAAATCATTAACTGTACAGTGCATACATATAAGAATATTGACTTGAAC